TGTGTGTGTGTGTGTGTGTGTGTGTGTGTGTGTGTGTGTGTGTGTGTATGAGAGGGAGGGAGAGAGGGAGAGAGGGAGAGAGGGAGAGAGAGAGATGAAGTGACTTGATAGAATCTCATGGTGAGGAGTGGAAGAATTCCTACTTCCAATTATCTAGGAATCACATTTTAGGCTATCTTACCATGAGCCATTTAGCCCTATGGCACTATACTTTCGTAGCCATGGAATGAGATGTGTAGGTATGACCTTTTCCATTTGAACAAGCTTTCCTGAGTTTACATGATTAAATGACAAGTCACAGACCTCTTTGAAGCAATAGCCACTAGCATTACCTTTTGCGGTTCAAAATCTATAACACCCTTTGAACCTGCAGTTTTCCCATCTGAAGGATTGAGTCACTTGACACTGGTCTGAGTGATTCTCAACTCTGGCTGTCATTAGAATCATGTAGGGAGCTTTAAAAGAATACTTCTAGGCCCTCTCCAGACCAACTAAGCCGGAATCTCCAAGGACCCAACTGAGAAGCAGGTGGTTCTGATGTGTGCCCGAGTCTAAGAAACACAGGTCTACAGCTTTGGCTATTCCTTTGGCTGTATATAATGAAATATATCTAAGAGCATGTTTAAGTATGTGTGTGGGGGGGGGCTGAACAGGAAGAGCCCAAGTCTTTGGAAAAGGAAAGTGAGTTGTGGTGTTCATAACATTACCACTAATAGTCAGCAATCTGAATTGACTGGCATATTTGTACTGTTAGATAACATTCTTCCAAAGGGCTCACCAGAGTGGCACATAATCTTAAAAACGTAGAGTTTGGGGAGAGCCCATTCCTGTAGTAAATTCCTATTATAAAGTGACTCAAGAAATTTCGTGCACTGAAACTTCCTTTTACCCTTACCCAAACAGTCCAAGTGTAAATGTTTCTGCCAAAAACAGCTGGACCGCTGGGAATCCCAGTCAATGACTCCTGAAAGCTTCTAGGGACAGAAATTTGGAATACGCAGTAAAAATGCAATGTTTGGATATCCATTTTAGAAAATTTCCAAGAATTAATAGCTGCTAAGAGCGTGGTGGATTTTCTGTGGCAACGCACACAGTAAGGAGCCGCTGAACATTTTATCCCCGTACCAAACATCTGCATAGAAATCTGTATAGGCTGAGTAATTTTTTAATGATTGCCCTAAGAGGAGTCTGGCAGCTCAGTGGACACCCACCAGCACCCTCCACCTGGTCAGACTTGCAGAGAGAGGTGCTTTGTATCTTAACTTGTGGTTAACATTCCTGATGGGAGGAGTGGTAATTAACTGGGTTAGCTAGGTGTTTTCCACTAGGATGTGCTCAGGTTTTCCACTGCAGTCTAAAAATAATGAAGCTCACCACGTTCTGTGAATGCCGTGTGAAGTGAGATTCTGGGGAGGATGGATGCTCTGCACTGACTTCTGTGTTTGCTGACATTACCAATGAATGTCTTTAAGAAAGAAGAAATGCGCAGAGGACATAGACGCTCAGTTAAAACGCAAACAAATAGGGCACCTTGGGTGGCTCAGTTGGTTAAGCGTCTGACTTCAGCTCAGGTCATGATCTCACAGCTCGTGAATTCGGGTCCCACGTCCGGCTCTGTGCTGACAGCGCGGAACCTGGAGCCTGCTTTGGATTCTGTCCCCCTCTCTCTCTGCCCCTCCCCCGCTCGCACTCTGCCTCTCTCAAAAGTAAATAAACTTAAAAAAAATTAAAACAAACAAAACCACTAAAGAAAATTGGGAGCAAGCACTTGCTTTGGGCTTTTGTGCAGGATTGCTTAGTTGTTTGCAGGTGTTGTTGGTGTCTATTGGGCTGTCAGAGAGCAAGTTCGTGGATAATTCTTATGAGGGCAGTTTTCCTGAAAGCATCTTTTGTTTCAAAGCTTAGAGAAACTGCATGTTGGGTGAGGGGGTGGATATGGATAAGGGGACAAGAAAGAGAAAGGGGTAGGAAAGATCTAATTAAAAGGACCCTTTGGGGCGCCTGGGTGGCTCAATCAGTTGAGTGTCCGACTTCAGCTCGGGTCATGATCTCACAGTTTGTGGGTTCGAGCCATGCATCGGGCTCTGTGCTGACAGCTTGGAGCCTGGAGCCTGCTTCAGATTCTGTGTCTCCCTCTCTCTCTGCCCTTCCCCTGCTCACACTGTTTCTCTCTCTCTCTCTCAAAAATAAATAAACATTAAAAAAAAAAAAAGGACACTTCTGATGCATAAAAATATACCAAATAGGTTTGGGGGACTTTGTTGTTGTTTATTAGTAGACTTTCTTTTTTGTTTGTTTTTAAACTAACACTTAGCTCTTACTTGACAAAAGAATTGAAATGGAAAATTATATTAAATGTAGGTATTTTTTAAACTAATTAAAAAGGGGATAAACCCTGAGGTCACACAACAAAAACAGAAGGCAGCTAATGAGAAGTCTGTGCAGACAAGAGAAAAATGATGACTGGCTATTTGGACAAGCTGGATGGTACCAGCAAGTGGGTAGATCATAAGCTCCGTGATCAAGGTTTTGTAGAGTGAACGGTCATTACGTATATTTTAATTTATCCTTATAAGACTGTTTGAAACTTTACCTTTCAACCTGACTTACTGTGATATTTTAGAACTATTCTTCAAAGAATAAAACACTAACCATGAATATGAAAATAAAGTGGGGGACAGAAATGGAAACTTGTATTGAACTGATGTGTTTTTAATTGATTATATTTTAAAATAAACGTGAAAGGTGATTTTAACACTTCCATTTTGACGTCTCTCAGGATGGAGCCACTGCACTCTTCCTAGCTGCCCAGGGTGGTTACTTGGATGTTATTCGATTACTGTTGTCTTCAGGAGCAAAAGTCAACCAGCCAAGGCAGGTAATGTCTGCGTGCGCAGAACGGTGTGCAGGCAGGGCCTGTTGTCCTGGGGCACCGCCTAAGATAACCAGTCAGCTCTGGGCATCTTTAAACCATTTGCCTCTGTGACGAAGTCAGTCTTTGATTGGGGTTCCTCCTGTTCTTTGCTTTGGCCTGTGAAATCAGGCTGACTTCACCATTTACTATTTTTGAAACATGGGTGTTTGGTATCTGAGGTCAAGTGCGTACTTGGCCACCTCATGTTCAAATAAATTGTGGCTGCACTGAGGTAATGAGAGTGGGGTGGGCTAGCCTGGGACGTAGGTAAATAGAGGTGAGTCAGGTAGCCTTGCCCCTGCCCAGTCCCCCTTATCTCTTACCCCCGCTTCTGCTTCCACCAAACCAAAGAGGAGCCCATTAGCCCACTGAGAAGCATTAATGGGTTCCATGCCTTCATCTCTCACAATTATAACACTAATAGAGACTTAATTTACCAAGAGCAAGCTACTGTCTGGCAAATCAATTGGTGGATACTTAAAGGAAAAGAACCACAAGGTAATACAGGTCACACTTCATAAAAGATAAAGAACCATTCAAATCTAAGGCATTCTAATTAGCTTCTCTTATATAGGAATGATTTCTGCACTAATTTATTTTTAACAAAACATTTAAGATTAAAGTAACACTACTTTAAACATAGTTTTCTTTTTTTTTAATATGAAATTTATTGTCAAATTTCCATACAACACCCAGTGCTCATCCCAACAGGTGCCCTCCTCAATGCCCATCACCCACTTTCCCCTCCCTCCCACTCCTCATCAACCCTCAGTTTGTTCTCAGTTTTTAAGAGTCTCTGATGTTTTGGCTCCCTCCCTCTCTAACCTTTTTTTTTTCCTTCCCCTCCCCCATGGTCTTCTGTTAAGTTTCTCAGGATCCACATAAGAGTGAAAACATACGGTATCTGTCTTTCTCTGTATGACTTATTTCACTTAGCATAACACTCTCCAGTTCCATCCTCGTTGCTACAAAAGACCGTATTTCATTCTTTCTCATTGTCAAGCTGATTTCTTACCAGTAAATGGCCCCCAGGGAGATTCCCATTGTAATGTAACATGATGCGAGAATGCCCATTTGTTCACTCTGGGAAGGTTGATCTGAGCTCTTGGCCCCAGGCTTCTTCAGTCTTTAAAAGTGCAAGCGCAGGGGTGCCTGGGTGGCTCAGTCAGTTAAGTGTCTGACCTCAGCTCAGGTCATGATCTCATGATTCATGGGTTTGAGCCCTGTGTCGGGCTGTGTGCTGACAGCTCAGAGCCTGGAGCCTGCTTTGGATTTTGTGTCTCCCCCTCTCTCTTTCCTCCTCTGCTCATGCTCTGTCGCTCTCAAAAATAAATAAACATTAAAAAAATTTTTTTTTTAAGTGCAAGTACATGGGAAGCCAAGAAGTGAAAGGGCCTTTGGGCAAAGTGGATTTCAGGTCGAGAATCCTGAGTTCTAGATCCAGCTCTGCCAATAACTAGCTGTGTGGTTTTGAACAAGTGAATCAATCTCTGTGGATTTGTCTGCCTCCATCGGAAAATTAGGAGGCTGGGCAGGTTGATCCAGACAATCTTCAAGCTCCCCCTTTTTGGTAGCTGTTTTATTCAATATTCAATCAGTATTTCTTAAGCACTCAGCATACGCAAGATACTATGAATGTGAGATTACATTTTTAGAATTTTAAAGATATTCTTAGATTTAGAGGACCCCAGGAATACTCTTGGGAAAGGAAGCTTTTAAAAAAAGTTGCACTTCCATACCTGCCAGAGGTGACTTTTGGGAATTGGAGTTTAGTATTTTCTTGCTGGTCCTTCTTATTTTGAAAGTGTTGATTTGACTCTGAATCAGAGGCTTCATTTTGCCAAGGTTAACAAAAGGAACTGGTAATTTTTAGATTGCATAAGTTTGATTTGAAGGCCATTATTGAGCATAGGACCATGAAATTAGAAATGAAAGATTGTCAAGATTCTCAGGCCTCTCTATCTGTACATCTTTCTGAAATAATTTCTGGCACTTTGACAAATCTATTTGTAAAATAAATAGTATTAACCATATGCCTAACGCCCTGTTCATAAAAGACCAAGTTGATATAAGATATTATATTTCAAATATTACATGCATTATGTCCACTCAAAGCTAAATTCAGTCATGTGATGACACTGAAGGCAAGAAATTAAAGAGTGAGCTAACAGTGCCATGGTGTCCACAACACCCATGGCTGTTTTCACTCCCCACACTGAGGATGACCTGGTCAAAGTGGATGACTGATCCAGCAGTGGGAGGACCCCACCCTCAGGTCAAAGTCAAGTGACATGACCTTTTAAAGACTGCACCCAATGCAATTGTTTGGAATTATGAATCCAACCCTGAAAAGATTGTTATTCAGGAAAAGGGTGTTTATAAAATAAGTTTGGGGGGAAAAAGCAACGGAATTTTTCCTTTTTATAGGGTACACTCATGGGGCGCCTGGGTGGCGCAGTCGGTTAAGCGTCCGACTTCAGCCAGGTCACGATCTCGCGGTCCGTGAGTTGGAGCCCCGCGTCAGGCTCTGGGCTGATGGCTCGGAGCCTGGAGCCTGTTTCTGATTCTGTGTCTCCCTCTCTCTCTGCCCCTCCCCCGTTCATGCTCTGTCTCTCTCTGTCCCAAAAATAAATAAAAAACGTTGAAAAAAAAATTTATAGGGTACACTCACACCACTGTATCAAGTCATAATCTTTTTTATTACCTGCTGTGAGCTGATAATGAAAGGCTGTCTAGGCAGGCCAGACTAGTCCACATTCTGTCTTCTTTGAAAATGTAAACTCTGCATTTTTAATTCCCTTCCTAGAAAACAAGCAGTGTCATAAATATGGCAAAAGTGATAGTAGTCCCCACTGACTTCGTCACAAGTTATGAGGAAGTTAAAAAAAAAATTCTAATTAAAAGTTTCCATTAAAATGGCCCATGCATGGTAGAATACTATATTGGCAGGGCATTTGGAAATCGGTGTTTTATTCTGAAATCGCAACTGACACATTAAGTCATTGTTAGAAAAAAAAAATGTTTCTAAGTTTATTTATTTTGAGAGTTAGACAGAGGGGGAGTGAGTGGGGTTGGGGCAGAGAGACAAAATCCCAAACAGGCTCTGAGCTGTCAGTGCAGAGCCCCACATGGGGCTCGAACTCACAAACCGTGAGTTCATGACTTGAGCCGAGATCAAGACTCGGACGCTTAACCAGCCGAGCCGCCCAGGCACACCCAGAAGATTCTTGAATTTATAAAATAAAGACAAAGATGTTTGCCAGATTTCATTTCTTAGTACTTTTAGATAAATCCAATTTATGATTTTTTTCACTGCCACTCTATGAGGGTCCTGACATTTATGGTACATTGTGACAGGATATTAACAAAGCTGCAATGAAATTATTCAGTTGACATTTGATCTGAGCTGCAGGGAATCTGAACAGTAAGTAGTAGGAATGGCTTTTCCTTGTAACTCTATCACAGATGAACTAACTGAAAACCTTTCTAGGACTTTTGTGACAAGGAATCATAATCACAAAATCATAAGCAGCCTGGAAAGACTAAGTTCTTGATGCGAAACTTGAAAAACTTTTCCTCTTAGTTTGTCCTAGATAAAGAGGTCAAGAGTCACAGAGATCATCGTACTCTATAGTCAAGCTAAAAACCTATCTTCAGTTCTTTCTACATGACCTCACCAAGTAAAGTTGATACAAGTCAAGCCTTTTTAATCACCAGCTTAAGATGGCTATTTAGCCTGTTTTTCTATCAGCAAAATTCTTTGACATATATACTTTTCCCAATGCAACTCATCCACCTTATGAAACAATACTTTCATGGAGTGGCAAAGGTCTGAGTGTTTACACAAGGCTGAGTTTAGCCTGTCATCACTCACTTCTCACTAGTCTTCTCAAAGTGCTGATCAGTAACTCCTTGAAGCCTGCCAAAAGGCCATCTCATAAAGTGCCCTCTAGCCTTGGTCTGCACTTGTATGCAGAGATGCTGGGCCCCAGATAGTGACGGTCCTCCCAGGTTGCAAACCTGGAGGGACGAGCCCAGTGTTGGGCAATGGGAGAAAAGAGGACCGATAGATCGTTGCAGTGTCCTGTGGAAGCACATAGCAACAGGGAGGCACTCCTGCTTGCATGCCCTCTGCACATGGTAGGCCCTCCAAAAAGGTATGTTGACTCCAGAAGAGAGCCTGTGGATTGAGCAGAGCTCCAGTGAGGCCCGGAAGGGAGAAGACATAGTGATCAGTGGCTGCGAACTAGAACTAGACTCAGATGTAGGGCCCAGGCTCATAGTCAGGACACCAGTCCTGGACAGATTGTAAGAGCCAGGTAGGGAGCCAGATCCAGGTCTCTGGGGGGCGAGTCACTTGTGAGTTATGGGGATATGGCTGTCTTAAGGAAATGAAACACAGTCTGTTTTGCTTATTAACTGCATGACCTTAAGCAGGCCACACTCCCTGAATTTCAGGGGTTCTTTTGAGTTTCTTTTATTATTATTTTAATAGATAACAGTGTTATATTAGTTTCAGGTGTACAATATAGTGAGTCAACACTTCTGTATATTGCTTAGTGCTCATCACAATAAGGGTACTTTTAATCCACTTCACCTATCTCCCCCATCCCTCCTTCCACCCCGCTCTGGTAACCACCTGTTTGTTTTCTATAGTTAAGAGTCTGGTCTTTTGTTTGTCTCTCTTTCTTTTCCTTTGCTCGTTTGTTTTGTTTCTTAAATTCCATATATGAGTGAAATCATATGGTATTTGTCCTTCTCTGACTGACTTATTGCACTTAGCATTATACCCTCTAGCTCCATCCACGTCATTGCAAATAGTTAAGATTTCAATTTTTTATGGTTAAGTAACATTCCAGTGTGTGTGTGTGTGTGTGTGTGTGTGTGTGTGTACTATATCTTATTTATCCATTCATCTATTGATGGACACTTGAATTACTTCCATATCTTGCCTATTGTAAGTA